TAGCGCCTCTGTTAGCATCACAGCTTCTCCAGGTAAGGCGCCCATGTTGGTTCTGATCAGAAACATGGTTCTGTATCCTTCTCCAGAACCTCTGACCCAGGAGCTGCGCGGCCTCAGATCCGGTCCGGTTCCGGTCCACATGCAGGATAAACATCCAGTACTTCCGGTCTGTCTCCTCAGGTTCTGACAGGAGTCTTTCGGACCCGGCAGCTGAACCCACCGACCCGGTTCTGATCCGGAGAATCAGGAATGAATCTTCATAGTAAATCAGACAAACAACCTGAGGATAAAAACGTTTTATTTCCCACAAGGTAATCATGGTAACCAGGTGACACCATGATGCTAGGGGTCAGGGGTCACAGGTTTATAATCAAATGTCAGTGAGCGGAGCTTACATCACAGCCAGGAGAACTTTAACCTTCATGTGTGTGTGTGTGTGTGTGTTCAGCTTTAACTCTGACCTCACTGAGTTTCTCTCAGGTGAGATTTTATTGTAAAGCAGCAGAAAAACAACATGGATCAGCTGCTGTAACTCCTGCAGACGCCGAGGCTCGTCCTCCTCAGAGTGTGTGATGGTGTGTGTGTGTGTGTGTGTGTTAGCGGTCCAGCACGTAGGTCTTGTACAGGCGGTTCATCTGCTCCAGGAAGATGAAGGTGAGGACGGTGTGAGGGCCGAGCCGGGCGTAGTACGGAGTGAAACCTTTCCACACAGGGAGAAGAAGCCCTCCCTCCCCACGACGCGCATCAGAACGTCCTGACACACACACACACACACACACACACACACACCACACACACACACACACACACACACACACACACACACACACACACACAGTTAGAAACAACCAGAGGAAGCAGTAGCACCAACTTCCTGCCCTCTGACTCAGAGACTCTGCTGCCACCTAGTGGTCAAATGGCCCAGCTGCAGCTGATGCCAGGAGCAGAACCAGGGGCCTCATGTGGAAACGCTGCGTACACGCAGAGACCCCGCGCCGCTATTTTTCCTGGAGCATCAAATCTCATCCGGAGCTGAACCCTGAACCCTGAACCTGCACCATGAAGCCCGTAGGAGGGAAAACCTCAGCCAGCTGTGACCTCTGTGTTTGAGTCGGTCAGCAGATGACGTGAAAACAATCTGAGCGGCCATTTTGATTCTCTGTGACGCATCGAGATTCATACATGTGGCCATGAGGCCCCTGATGTTCTGGACCGGTTCTGACCCGGTCCTGGACCATGCTGCAGAAACTCACCAGGCCGTTCTTGTACTCTGGTTTGCCATCGATCATCCTCATGTTCTGGATCCTGGAACAAGAGAAGATCCAATCAGCTGCTTCTGGAACCGTCCGGATATCCCAGAACCCGACCGCTTCAGACCCAAACATGGTGCGGCATCAGAACCGATGGAGGTTCTAACCCGTTCTGGACCCGGCCGTCTCACCTGGTTTTGACGATGTCGACAGGCATCGATGCTGCTGTGGTAACCAGACCGCTGATCATACTGGCACAGAAATGGCACAAGATGTCGTCTCCAAAGTACCCTGGACACACACACACACACACACACACACACACACACACATCAACAGAACACACACACACACACACATCAGAGAAACACACACACACACATCAAGAGAAACACACACACACACATCAAGAGAAACACACACACACACACATCAAGAGAAACACACACACACACACACACATCAAGAGAAACACACACACACATCAAGAGAAACACACACACACACATCAAGAGAAACACACACACACACACATCAAGAGAAACACACACACACCAGACTCAAGAGTGTGTTAGCTTGCATTAAGTTAGCAGTTAGCTTGCAGTGTGTTAGCAGTTAGCTTGTTGTGTCTTAGCGGGTAGCTTGGAGTGTGATAGCAGTTAGCTTGCAGTGTGTTAGCAGTTAGCTTGCAGTGTCTTAGCGGTTAGCTTGCAGTGTTTTAGCAGTTAGCTTGTTGTGTCTTAGCGGTTAGCTTGCAGTGTCTTAGCGGTTAGCTTGCAGTGTTTTAGCAGTTAGCTTGTTGTGTCTTAGCGGTTAGCTTGCAGTGTGTGATTCTGACCTGAGTCCAGCAGTGCCTGTTTGGACTGGGAGTAGGACGCCAGCTGAGCGGCGTTGACCACCACCGCCCGGGCCATGGTGGGAACACACCCCTGAAACACAGTCAGAGGTCAGAGCTGAGGTCACGTGACGGGAGGGGTGCTGCCTCCGCCTGTTTCTGACATACTGACCCTCCACAGTGTGGTCAGCCCCCCTCTCTTGTGATGCGAGCCAGAGCGTTGAACACGTTGGTGTATCCTCTCCTCTGGTCAGCAGGAAGTCTGCACACACACACCTGATGTCACACACACACACACACACACACCTGAGAGCAGAGCAGCCAATCAGAAAGCAGCTCTCACCGCCCATCAGCCGTCATCCTGATCAGAGCAACCTCCGCAGGCGTCCCCACAAACGCTCCGGTGGCGCCGGCCGTCATCCCTATCAGAGCCTGCAGGGGGAGCCACAGGTTAACCTGAAGGAACCAGAACCAGAACCGGTTCCGAGGATCCGACCTTCAGCAGGAAGTTGGGCGGCCGTCCGTCGGCTCCGGTCATCTTCTCAAACAGGATGGTGTAGATCCCCAGGCGGGTGGTGGTGTAGGTGGCCTGGCGGAGGAGTCCTGCGGACAGGCTGAGAGGACGACCTCAGTCAGGACAGGAGGACACGTCTCCATACCATGTGAGGGACATGTCACCGTCCAGCAGGGGCTACTCCATCCTGAAGCTCCTGATCTGAATGCTGATTGGCCGGTGCTCGCTAAGGAGGAGGAGACTACTCACTAGCGTTAGCTCTGGACAGGCTAGCAGCTAGCATGCTTAAGCTAGTCACTCGTACAATCTCTTTGAAGAAAACTTTATTAAGAAGGTTTGTTGCTTTGCTGTTAACGTTTCCTGTCATCCATCATGACATCAACACACTGGATAATATGGAGCCGACTTCTGATTGGACAGACGGCTAAAGGGAGATTCCACCTCATTTCTCACAGCACTGAGCGTCTTTAACTATCTGGAGTAAAAACTTCAATGATCTTCAAACCAGAACATTCAAAAGCTGCTTTGTGAAACTTTATTTGATTACTGAAAGTTCAATAAAGTCCATCATCAGAGTGATCAGTTATCGGCGCCGGCCAATCAGCAATCAAATCAAAAGCTAAAGGATGCATGTAGGCGAATGAAACAGGAAGTTGGCGCTGCTGGGAGGATAACAGGATTTCCTCTGGTCCTGATCCAGCAGACCGGTCCCGGTCTGGACCCGTCTGGTGGTACTGACCCGGTGTAGATGCCTCCCACTCCTTCGTTCTTCAGGATGGAGAACAGAGCGTGGAAGCTGGTCTTGTACTCGCGGGCCTTGGTTCCCTGGCCGCTCAGCTGCATCCGGTTCTTCACCAGGTCCAACGGCTGGACGAACACCGTGGCCCCCATGCTGCAGGACAGAGAGGGTCCCATCAGAACCGGGCCTTATGGGTCACTGGGTGGTTCTGTTCTACTGAGCAGAACCTGAACCTTTCTGCTGGTTCCACAGCAAGCATTGATAATCCCCTGCAGTCAGGTGGTTCTGCTGGACTCCGAACCTCCTGGAGCAGAACCAGTCAGGAGGTTCTGATCCAATCAGCGCCAGGAGGTTCTGATCCAATCAGCGCCTCTGGTCGTGGCCAGTAAATCGGTTCTCATCGGATCAGAACCACCGGGACCTGAATTCCCGGGCAGCAGATTTAATCTGAACACCGGTCCTGCAGCTAGCGTTAGCCGTTAGCAGCTAGCATGAGTCCAACACCAACATGGAGACAAGCTAACATTAATCTGGTCATGTAATGATAATCATAACCAGGTCAATCTGCCCCTGGCAGCACAGCGGCTCCTCTTCGCCCTCTGACCCCTGACATTAGCCCGTTAGCACCGCGGCTAGCAGCAGCTCCTACCCGGCCAGACCTCCGAACAGGAACTTTATGGCCTTCGGAGAGGTCTTCGGCTTTGTCTCCGCCATGTCGACCCGGTTCGGTCGGTGGCCAGCTGCCTTCCTGTCGCCTCTGGCCCGGTCGGTTCCTCTGCTCTTTCCCCAGAACAGCAGCGGCCGGAGCAAGGTGACTCTGCTGGAGCCGCAACACGCGAACGCTCCGAAACACACGAGCCAATCAGGAGGCGAGGCGGGACAACACGGAGACCAGCGGGCCAATCAGCATACGGGGGCCAAGAGCACAGCAATAAATGCACCAATCAGTGAGCGTGGACCAAGGACACGAAAATGAACGAAGAGAAACGAGTGTTTTGCTTCGTTTACTGTGTGATTCACGGTCCTTTTAAATTGTATTATCAAACTATTGAGAAATCCACCTTTACAGGAAAAAAATATTCAATTATTAAAATATTTATTTGACAAATATACGTGCTGCTGCCATCAACCCATTTTATTTTTATAAAAAATATAAAAATGAATTAAATATAGAATTTAAAATTTGTAACATATCTAAAAATCCAGCGACATGTTTTAAAATGTACTTCACTATTTAAAAAACGGACGTGTCTTTGTGTATGTAATGGAAAGGCCTGTTGCCTTCCTAATTCACCACTAGGTGGCGCTGCTGTTATTTGAAGCAAAGTCAAATCAGGTTTACTATGCTAACCTAACCTACTGCTTCACATCACCAACACATTACATCATGTAATGAATGTAAAAAAGACACTATTAACAAGTGGATGAAAACAAATAGACTTAATTAATTAATGACTTCATTTGAAATCAACAGAGGAGTTGATATTTCTCTGAAATAAGGTTGTCTAGATAAGGAGGTGGAGTCCAGTCAGTCTGACCAATCAGAGAGCAGAACCTACAGGACTGAAGTCAGCCTGGAGCGTCAGCCTACCTACTGATGACGTCACTGAATACTGCGCTGTGATTGGCTGCTGGGTGGAGAGTTTCTGACTGACTCAGGTGAGTTGAGCTCAGATCAGGTGAAGGCCGGGAGAGGAGTCAGCGGAAGGCGGGGGATTCAGTTTTCCGAAAGAAGAAAGGAGGAAGGACGGGAGACGAGAGAGCGGAGAGAGATCGACAACGAAGTTTTGGTGCTTTTTGGCGGAGGAGTCAGGAGTCGGGAGGTCTTGTGGTTATATAACTAATTACCTGCAGCAGGTCGGCTTTTTTGGATGAGATGGATTTTGGGAAAACTGGCGGAAATAGTTTGGATTGTAGTGAAGAGGAAGGGATGGAAGATCAAGATGAAGGGAAAGAGTGGGAGAAGGTGGAGAAGGGTGGAAAGAAACAACGAGCTGCTGAAAGGAAGAGGAAAAAGCGAAATGAGGAAAGTACGGAAGACACTGAGAGTGAAGGATCTGAGGAAAAAGTAGAAGAATCAAAAAGCTCGAATATGAACATTATTGATGAAGAAGAACGGGTTAAGAAGATGGATCCACTGAAATTAACAAAAGCACTTAAAGCGCATATTGGAGATATTAAACATGCTAAAGTTTTGAGAGACGGAAATCTGTTGATTGGGTGTAATTCGGAAGATCAGGTGGTAAAAGCGAAGAAATTAGGATGGGTATGTAAAGTAAAAGTTAGAACAGTCGTTAGAGTGGGTGAAAAAAGAAACATTGGAAGTAAAGGAGTTATCACTGGAGTGCCTTTCAGTGTAAATATGAAAGATTTGGTTGGACATTTAAAAGAAAGAAATAGGGAAGTAAAAGGAGCACAAAGAATGACAAAAGGTCCAGAGAAAGATGAAACAGAAACTGTCCTAGTGGAGTTTGAAACGAAAGAGGTACTAAAGGAGGTTTTCTTTGGTTTGATAAGATTTAGTGTCAGGGAGTTTGTGCCTAAACCAGTAAGATGTTTCAATTGTCAAGAGTTTGGACATGTTGCAAAAATGTGTAAAGGAAAAAGGAGATGTGCCCGATGTTCTGGAGATCATGAATATGGAAAATGTGGAGTTGGAGTAAAGCCAAAGTGCTGTAGTTGTGGAGGAGAACATAGTGTTGCTTTTTGGGGATGTGAAGTGATGAAACAGCAAGTTGTGATACAGAAAACAAAGATTGTGCAGAAAGTAACATATGCAGAAGCATGTAAAATGGTTGGGAAAGAGGAACAAAATGGGAAATCTTTGACAGGGGAAAAATCTATAATCCAAAAGGTTATGGAAAGGGTTGATAGGAGAATAGAGGAGGAGAAAAAGAAAATGGTGACGTTTATTGCAGGAGTGATAAATGCAACCTCAGATGTGAGATCAAAGACAGAAAGGATTCAGATTATTGTTAAGGCAGCATGCCATACTTTAGGGTTGAGAAATATTAGATGGGAAGATATAAGAGGAGAACTATGTAGTCAAACGAGTCAAGAAGGATAATTTTAATCTTACAATGGAATGCAAGGAGTCTATTGTCAAACGGTCAAGATTTTAAACAGTTTATTTATGAGCAGAAAGTTAAACCTGATATAATTTGTACACAGGAAACGTGGCTGAAGCCTTTTTTGGATTTCAGAGTGAATGGATATATTGTAGTGAGGTATGATGGGGGAGGGTGTCTTTCTCTGATTAAGGAAGGTATTCCTTATAAAATAGTTGAAAAGAAAGGGGAATTGGAGTATGTAGAAATTGAAATATGGATAGAAAAGAAGGTAATTTTGATTATAAATTTTATAATCCCTGTAAAAAGCTTGAAATAAGTAAACTTGATGAGATGGGTATGAAAGGAAATATTATTGGTGTGGAGATTTTAATGCTCATCACTCCTTATGGGGAAGTACAAAAGTTGATTATAATGGTAAGGTTTTAGAGGAATTTCTAGATAGTAATAATCTTGTATGTTTGAATAATGGCGAAAAGACAAGAATTGATATTAATTCAGGTAAGGAATCTGTAGTGGATTTAACATTTGTTTCCAGTTGTTTAGCTCCATTATGTGATTGGCAAGTTAAAAATAAATCCTTTGGTAGTGATCATTACATTATAGTCAGTAAAATAAGGATGGGTCAGGTGCAGAATCTTGAAATGTTAGGAGGGAAGTGGATATTTAGGAAACGAATTGGGAAAAAATTAATAACTTATGTGAGAGTAAGATATCAAATATAAAAAATGATTTGAGTATAGAAAATATGAGTCGTGAGATTAGTCAGGGTATATTAGAAGCTGCTGAAAGGTCTATTCCAAAAACATCAGGGAAGAATAGGAGGAAATTAGTTCAATGGTGGAATGAAGAGTGTAGAACAGTGGTTAAAGAAAGAAATAAAGCATTTAAACTGGTTAAAAAGTCTCATAATTTTCAACATTTGATTGAATATAAAAAATCACAGGCTAAAGTAAGGAAAACAATAAGAACAGCAAAAAGGGTATATTGGAGAAATTTTTTGTGACAAAATTGGTAATAGTACAAAGATTGGGGAAGTTTGGGGAATGATCAAAAAAATGGGGGGAGATAGAAGAGAATGGAGTTATCCAATATTAAATAGAAACAATATAATAGCAATAAATGACAGGGAAAAAGCTGATATTTTAGTAAGCACATTTATGGAGATTCATAGTGGGAAAAAATGTTCAGATAAGGAAATAAAGGGTAGAGAGAAAACTAAAAGAGAAAATGGTGGAATTTTAAGAAGAAAGGAAATTATTAAGGATGAATTGATGAACGATCATTTCTCTATTGGTGAATTGAAAAGAGCTTTGGGTAGAACAAGAAATAGTGCTCCAGGTAAAGATGAAGTATGCTATATTATGCTAAGACATGTGAGTGATGATGTTTTGAAGAAGATATTAAATTTGTATAATAAGATTTGGAAAGAGGAATAATACCTAGTGAATGGAAAGAAGCGATTGTTATTCCGATAAAGAAACCTGGGAAAGATCATAGTAATCCTGAAAACTATAGACCGATTGCTTTAACATCTAATATATGTAAGCTGATGGAAAGGATGGTGAATGAGAGGCTAGTAATATTTGGAATCAAGGAATATAATTGCTCCGTATCAGAGTGGCTTTCGTAGAGGGAGAGGAACAATGGATCCTGTTTTGTATTTAGAAGATGATATTAGAAAAGCTCAAATTAATAAGGAAACTGTTGTGGCTGTATTTTTTGATGTGGAAAAAGCATATGACATGTTATGGAGAGAAGGATTATTGATTAAACTACACCAGATAGGAATAGGAGGGAGTATGTTTAACTGGATATGGGATTTTTTATGTGATTGAAATATCCAAGTTAAAATAGGTTCTCATGTTTCAAAAGTGTGTCAAATAGAAAATGGAACTCCTCAAGGAAGTGTGATAAGTCCAACATTATTCTCGGTGATGATAAATGATATTTTTAATGAAATACCAGTTAGTTTTGGGAAATCACTATTTGTTGATGATGGAGCATTATGGAAAAGGGGAAGAAATATAGAACATCTTATTTTAAAACTTCAGGAAGGTATAGATATAGTAGGTAAGTGGGGAATTGAGTGGGGTTTTAAATTTTCAATTGAGAAGACAAAAGTAATGTTCTTTACAAATAAGAAAGTTAGAATTGATAAAAAATTATATTTATATGGGAAAGAACTAGAAACGGTTGATAGTTTTCATTTTTGGGAGTAGTCTTTGATAAGAAACTAACTTGGGAAAGTCATATAGATCACATTATGGAAAAAAGTAAAAAGGTTCTTAACATTATGAGGTGCTTGACAGGGTTGACATGGGGTGCAAACTTTGAATCACCTAAAAATATTTATGTGTCATTAATACGATCTAGAATAGATTATGGGAGTGTGGTGTATGGATCAGCAAGCAAAACTAGGTTAAACAAATTGGATATTATTCAAGCAAGAGCTTTGAGAATTTGCTTAGAGGCAGTTAAATCTACTCCAGTATGTGCATTACAAGTAGAGTCAGGAGAGATGCCATTATGTATTAGAAGACAGCAGATCATGGTAAATTATTGGATAAGTTTAAAAGGACAAAATGAAGATCACCCAGTTAAGAAAGTGTTACAAAATTGTTGGGAGAGAGGAAAAGGAAAAGTAATAGTTTTGGGTGGGTGGGAGATGATAGAGCAAAAACATTTAATGTATTTGACAAAGAATTCAGTCAAACAGTAGTATGGCCTGTGAGACCAGCATGGTCATGGAAATGTATTAATCTAGACAAGTCACTATTAGATATTCAGGGGAAAAAGATAATAGATATGTGCCAAGAGTTTTATCATCAAATACAAAATAAATATAATGATTATGTACAGATTTATACTGATGGTTCAAAAGATCCTAAAAACTAAGTAACTAGTATAGCAGTAGTGATTCTAGATTTAAAGACAAAGATTTCAAAAAGAACATCTGATTACTTGAGTATCTATGCAGTAGAAATGTGTGCTATATTATTAGCTTTAGAATGGGTGGAGGATAGTAAAGGAAATACATTTATAATTTGTAGTGATTCACTATCTGCTTTGATGAGTATTGAAAAGGGATGTTCAAGTAATCATCAAAATATATTATATGAGGTTATGGCAGTTCATCATAGAATATGTGATCAAAATAAAACTAATATTATTTTGGACTCCTGCTCATGTAGGTATTTTAGGTAATGAAAGAGCAGATAGATTGGCTAAAGAGGCTAGTGAAAAAGAAGAAATTGATATGTTAGTAAAGCTATCGAAATCAGAGGGGAAAAGTATAGCTTGGAGAGAAAGTAAAAAGATATGGAAAATTAGGTGGGATAATGAAATTAATGGAAGGCATTTATACAGGTTTCAAAATACAGTTGATGTAGAAAGGGTTAGAGGATTAAATAGAAAGTTAGAGGTAATTATAACTCGAATAAGAACCGGGCATAGTTTATTAAATGGAACTCTTTATAAGATGGGGAAACATCCTACTGGTTTATGTAGTTGGTGTGATTCTGTAGAAACAATGGAACATGTTTTTATTAGTTGTAGAAAATATGAAAATGTAAGAAAATTATTAATATTGGAATTAGGCTGTACTGGAGAATTGAAGTTTGAAAAAGTGGTTGATCAGTTAAATAGTAATGAGGGGAGGAAGAAAATTTTTGGTTTTTTAAAAAACAGTGGGATTATTTCGAGAATTTGAGAGATAATTAGGATTCAATAGATGGCAGTAGTGCAACAAAAATGGATGCAAGCTGCCGTTAAAACCTAAAGAAGAAGAAGAAGATCAGGTGAAGATGAAGCAGAAGATGAAGCTGCTGCTGCTCTGCGTCCTGCTCTGTGTTTCTGCTGATGGTAAAAATCTCATCCAGGCTGGTTACTGAGACTGATCACTCAAAGCTCTGTTTCTGCTCTCCTTTCAGTGCAACATGACAGTTTCCGGGTCATTGCATGTTCAGACACGGATGGATTCAACATGATGACTCTGGATGGGGAAGAGGCTTGGCACGCTGACTTCATTCATGAGACAGGAGTTGATACCCTGCCGGACTTTGTCAGCCATCCAAGTTTTCTGTGGGGCAACAACAAGTTTGCAAAAGTAACCTGAAGATTATCCGTATTGGTCTGAAGGACATCCCTGATCCACTTGGTGAGGAAAGATCAACTCTGCTTCCTTTCCTGCTAGGGAACAAGTTTAGATCAGACTGAATGGACTGAGTGTGGGAACGTTTGGACCTCTGGTTACTCCATCAGCTCTGTTTAATCTGACTTCATCCTCATTTGCTGTTTCTTGTACAGTTGAATCCAGATTATGGAACGCTCTGCTTCAGCATCTCTAATCCCTTCAGCTTCAGGTTTATTAGAGTCCCAAAGGGAAAGTGATGCTGCAGCAAGTAAAAACGAACAAATGCATCAAAATTTAAGACATTCAGGGCTCTAAAAATTAGGTACAATACAGTGCATCAAAACATTGATATAAATCCATATAATATAGGGCAGGACTGGGAACTTCCAGGCCTCCAGATTCTCCTGCAACTTTTAGATGCATCTCTACTTCAACACACCTGAGTCAAATAATGAGTCATTAGCAGAACTCTGGAGAACCGGACTGCATTTACATTTACAGATGTTGGACCAGGGAGACGCCTAAAAGTTACAGGAGACTGGCTCTGATGTAGGGAGACAACCAACATCATCATCAACCAACTATTTCTGCTAACATCAGTAGAAAACAACAGAAATCAGCCAAACAGTCAGATGCAACTCCTGCCTCCTGCTCCATTGTTAAGACTCATACTGGCCAGTTAATGTCTGGTTTGGTTCCAGTCAAGCTGCGTCTCCTTTGGGTCCATGAATATGTGCAGGAACATGCAGGATCTGTGGTCATCTCTCCTTCAGGTGTGCAGCTTCTTCTGCATTTGATTTGCTTATTGATGTCCAAGTTGTTGTGTTTGTGGTTTTCCACCACAATTAGTAAAACATTTTGGTCCGTAGCGTTTGAACACGGGAATATTGATTGTCTGAGGAGGAATCTATGGGCCGGTACTCAGATATAGATGCTGCCAATCAAATTCCTTGTATGCAAGGAAATCTTTGGAACCAGCACTCCAGATGTAAGATCTTCAAATGTGGTTGAGGAAGACTGGAGAAGATCTGGTTAAAGCCACATGATCTTCTGCTCATGATTAAGATGATCCTGCATGTGTTTAGATCCTCCAACCAGCCTGCTCTACACGGCTAACGTTGTGGAGCTGGGAGAGAAGAACATCCTGGTCTGTCACGTCTCTGGTTTCTATCCGGCTCCGGTCAACGTCTCCTGGACCAGAAACGGAGACAAAGTGACTGAAGGAACCAGCATCAACGTTCCTTTTCCCAACGAAGACAACACCTTCACCCAGATCTCCAGGCTGCACTTTGTCCCTCAGCTGGGAGACATTTACAGCTGTTCAGTGGAACATCTGGCCCTGAAAGAACCACTGACCAGAATCTGGGGTGAGCGGCCTTTAACTAGACCAGTGGTCTCAAACTGAAGCCTGCAGCTTTTAGATGAATCCATTCTTCTACACACTTGAATTAAAGGGCTGAGCTGCTTCATGCGGTCCAGCTCTGCTAGTGAACTAGCATTGGAACCCAGTGCTGAAGCAGAGACGTCTAATCCAGTGGAGCCCAAAGTGGTTCTGGAGGTCCGGCATCCTCCATGTTTTAGTCTCTCCCTGGTTTAACACATCTGGATCAAATGAGGCCTTAGAGGCTTAAGGCGAACATTGAGAAGGTTGTTACTAAAACCTCCAGGATGCACCGGCCCTCCAGGACCCACTTTGAAGTTTGAGACGACTGCAGTAGAGAGAAGCAGCTCAACAAGCTTTCAGTGACTTGTCTCTGTTTTCTGTCTCCAGATGTTGAAGTGCAAGTGGCTCCGCCTGGCGTTGGACCCGCCGTGTTCTGTGGAGTCGGTCTCATCGTGGGTCTGCTTGGGGTGGCGGTCGGGACTTTCTTCCTCGTTAGGGGGACAGAGAGCTGATTGGCACCATGTTACTGATCTTTACCAGACATATTATCTGAAGCTCATATTCATTCCTCTGGATTGTTTCACATTTTCACGCTGATGTTTCCCTAAAAACTGAATTTCTGCTCCTCAGTTTGTTCTGCTCAGAATCAACCAAGCTGTCACTTTATACACAGTTTAGGAAACATGTACTAATTATTCTGTTGCATTTGAACCTGAAATGGTTTGTAGTTCTTGGTAATGAAACTTTAGACAGTAGAGCAGAAACTGCAGCATCTATCAATGCTGCAGTTACATCTTTCTTTACGATTCATTTCTGACTCAACAGGTTTGTGTAGATCAATGAGGAAAGAGCAGTTTGTTCTTTTCAGACCCGATCAGATCCCAGAGTTTTTCCTTCCACCTTACTTTAAAAAAAACTTCTTGAGTTTTTTAAGTGTGTGTAAAAAGTTACGCTTTCATTCCTATAACATGATGGTTTTCATTGAACTCTGTATTGATCGTTGGTTTTCTGTTTCTGGGTTCAGATCTCCTCTCAGGTTTTTATCAGTGGAACATCTTCATGTCTCAACCTGCTGGTGAAGCAAACAGATTCACATTTTTCTGATGCTTAATGTGTCTAAAATAAAGATCTGATTCCTGGACTTTAATGTTGTGGGATTTTTGTTTGTTTTAATGAAACATAACTTTAATTGTGCAGATTGTAACACAATCTGTTCAAAAATAAGATGAGAAAATCTCAGTTTCTCAGTTTAACACGACAAAAACAAGAAAAAGATCCTGTATGAGATCAGTCTGCCAGGTAACACATGACACGGCGGTCGTGACGTGTGGTTCAGTTCGTCTCCTGACCTGGAGGAATGGGTCCCTCTCTGCTCCTGATCCTCCTGGTTCTGGTCCAGACAGCAGGAGGCGCTCACAGCGGGAGTTTGGGATCTAATCTGTGATTGGTATCCAGAGCTCAGTAGACTCTTTAGAAACAGCTGAGCTCTGCAGTTTCCTAAATACTGACGTCGACTTTAGGGTTGAGAATCTCTGGCATGTGCTTGACATAATAGTTGATCATGATGCACTGTGAATGATCCAATTCATTTTAGAGACGTAAATGAAGTCAATTGTAGAATGACAGGGTCTTCAGCTCCAGGCCTGAAGGGGGCGCTGTCCTGCAGGTCTGTTTCAGGACATCAGGTCATGATCAGCTCTCTGGGGAACCTGAGACTGATCAGCCGGACTTGGGTCTGTTGGACCACATCTAAAGATTCCTGCTCTGTTATTTACCTCTTACTGTACAAGCTATCATCTGCATGTGAAGAAAAACTCTTTTGCTTTTATTTCCAAGCTGCAGCTACTTGGTGTTCATGTTATTTCTTACTTTAAGCTGCACATCAACTTAAAGATAGTAGAAGAAAAAGCTAAAGTGAAGTTTAATTTTAGCGTATTAAACATAAAGTGATAATTACTCATAAAATAATGGGGTTTCTGCAGATGGGAGCCAACAGTCGACCCACATTGGACCAGAATCTACAACGACTCAACACCAACGTAAAACTAAACCACAGCATGAATCTGGTTTACAGAAACTCAATAAGTGATTTAAGATCCAGGCTCAGACATAACATGGGTTAGCTTGTTGTTAGCGGTAGCATCGTTATCATAGACTGATTACTTAAAATAGCACAAAGCTGAGTCACCAGGAAGAAACCAGTCAATGGCCATTTAAAGCTCCTTTTGATCCTAAATGTGACCCAACCTGAAGCTAAATGATTTTATTTCCAGGTTTTTGAAACTTTCTTCTGACTTGTCCTATAATAATAATAATAATAATAATAATAATAATATGAGGCCTGCAGCTCCAGGTGGTTAGTTATGAGAACACCAGGTAAATAATCACGATAAGTCCTTTTTAGATAATATGGATTATAATATACACATATTTTTTGGAGATGCCTCGTCTGTTCCAGTCCATTGGTTCTTTAGCTCCTCGCTGTGATCACTGGAGAAATCCACTTCTGGACCTCCATCTGAATTTAACGCGTCATCCGGGTCACGACTGAAACCCAGAGTGTAGCTTAAGACTGAATAAACTCTAAATGTTTCAGATAACCAGGAATGTGCATGTTTTGTTTTCCAGATGGTTCTGAAGTCCATTTGGTGTTGCGCTGCCTCTTTAACTCCACTGAGCTGAAGGACACCAGTACATCTACTCCTACATCTATAAAAAAGTGGAGTTTTTGAGATTTGACAGTAACATTGGGCTCTATGTTGGATACACATCGTTTGGAATGAGACAGGCAAAAATCTTGAACAGTAATCCTGTGGTTCTGTGGTTCTGAGCAGCAGGCGAGCCCAGAAGGACGTGTTCTGCCACCATAACTCTGGGGTCTGGTACAGAAATGTTTTGAATAGATCAGGTGAGTTCATAAAGAACTGCTTCCAGTCCGGGAGGCGTGGCTGGATCTGGTGGGCCCCAGATGTCCTCAATAAACCTAAACCAATAAACCTAGAACCAAATCAGACCCACCGAGACACAGCAACCTCTTTCCCAGGAGAGAAAACACAGAAACTCAGATATTAAGTTTCCAAAACAAAAATAATAAGTTTCCCCACTTGGCCTGAATGAAAATACAGATTTGTTTCTTGTATTAATTTTAGTTTTTGCACTGAGGAAAGTGAACTCTTCCTCTCCTCTTCCTGTTCCAGTGGCGCCGTCTGTTGCTCTGACCTCAGTGGCGCCTCCTGCTGGCGGCCATCCCTCCATGCTGACCTGCAGCGTCTACGGCTTCTTCCCCAAACAGATCAGAGTCACCTGGAGGAGAGACGGACAGGAAGTCACCTCTGATGTCACTTCCTCCGACGCGCTGCCAGACGGAGGCTGGCTCTACCAGATCCACTCCAGCTTGGAGTTCAAATCCAGGTGAGTCCAGGTAACACACACACACACACACACACACACACCAGGTGAGTCCAGGTAACAGAAATGCAGCAGATCCAACTTAACTCTGTCAGATTTGATTTCTGCACTTTTAAAGTGTTTGTTTCCACACCAGAGCTTGTTAATTTAAGTCTTTTTGGAGTTAAATGAACTCTAATTAAGTGTAAAATATCAAATCTGTTGGAGTTAATTATATAACACTGATTAGATCTTATTAACTCTGAGAATGTTTTTAACTTCATAAGAGTTATTTGTAATCAATATTAAACAGGTATTGAATTGTTTTGAACTTGTAAAAATTCTTTGGAAAATAAACATTTAATAAAGAGGCAATGATTTTCTCAAATGCATTTATTTCTAAACCTGCAGCATAATTACAATTATAATGTAATTATGGTGTAATTATGGAATAATGTGCATGTTTCACATATTGCTTATCAAAAGGTCTGACATATCAACTGTGCAATACAAAATGCAGTATGCTTAATACATTTTTCTTTAATATGCATGAAATAATTCAAAGGTGGAGAAAGTAAAGCAAGTAGTTCATGTAATATATAAATGTTCTATTAACCATTTATTACAGTACCTAACAGACCAATCTGATATCTAGGTCCATCACGTCTTTATGTTTGTGTTGATCAGACACAGATCACCGGTTTGATCACCGGGCTCCTCTGCTGCACTGGACAGTCTTCAGTCTACCAGTATGATGGCCAGTGCTGGTCTCTGGATCATAAACAAAAACATGACAATAAAAACATTTTTACTACAACTCTAACAACAAGCCTCGATTACAGAAATGTGGATATTCAGAGATATTAACATTTCCATAATCATTTTTGGAGCTTGACTCTTGGAAGAATCCATGAAGCATATTGGTAGTAAATATATAGAAAAAGGTTTAAAGGATTAAAACTTGCTGCAAAATGTACACAAGACGCAACAGTAGGAACAATGTCTCAACATAAAAAAGTCTTTTACAGTTTTTCAAAGGAAAAAAAAGATCAGATAGTTTCATAAATCTGACCTATATTCATGTAAATGTTCCAGGGGAGTAAATTGGACCCGCCATTGGCCAAATGGGTAGAAGTCTGAAGTGGGATGTAAATTGAAGCAACGCAGCTGCCACTGGGGCAGGTGGGCAATTTGAAGAGAAAAAAAACTGCATTCAGTTTGATCTTCTGTCCAGGATCAGAGAGGCTGACCGACTACAGACCGACTACAGACTGACTACAGACCGACTACAGACTGACTACAGACTGACTACAGACCGACTACAGACCGACTACAGACTGACTACAGACCGAATACAGACCGACTACAGACTGACTACAGACTGACTACAGACCGACTACAGACTGACTACAGACCGACTACAGACTGACTACAGACTGACTACAGACCGACTACAGACTGACTGCAGACGACTACAGACTGACTGCAGACGACCACAGACTGACTGCAGACGACTACAGACCGACTACAGACTGACTGCAGACGACTACAGACCGACTACAGACTGACTGCAGACGACTACAGACTGACTACAGACCGACTACAGACTGACTACAGACCGAATACAGACCGACTACAGACTGACTACAGACCGACTACAAACTGACTGCAGACGACTAGACTGACTGCAGACGACTACAGACTGACTACAGACCGACTACAGACCGACTACAGACCAACTACAGACTGACACACATACTGAATGTGGGACGGACCCAGGCTGCCATCATCTAACAAATATATATCAAAGTATTTTTATCAACCGTGGCAGATCATTGGTTGATTTCATTAACGCCCGCACCTCCTCTCAGAGGTTATAAATGCAGCCACTGCAGCTAACCATTAGCTGCTAATCATTAGCAGCTAATGGTTATAACCAATGTTCCCTCTAAGCTGCGCCTGCGCAATCACGCTCTGCTCACATATTCTCAGCGCACAAGAAAATCTATGTAGCGCATAAAATAAAGTCCAACGTAAAGTGGACATTGAGCTCAGACATCAGTTTTGACTATGGACCAATAATAAATTGTTTCCGTACTACTTTGCGATCGAACTCAGTGAGTGACAGGAATCCAGCCAATGATACGATACGGTTCACTTTCGCTACGTGGGTTACGTGCCTTGGTCATATGTGCCGTGCAGGTGAGAATAGAGCGGTAGAGTTAAGAAACGTGAAAGCCATCACCTTATCATGTCTAGTGGAACATCCACTCACCAAGACAAAGTAAAAAAAAAGAAATGCACTTCTTCTAAGATCAAATGCAATCAAATCAAATGAAAGGAATGGTCTGCATTTGATACTGAAATGTTGAGTTCAGACTTTTGACTATGGATAAGCAGACATTTGGTCACAGGCAAAGAAGTATGAGGCCATTCTCCTCCACCCACAGATTATGGAGGCCATTAACAGTCAATATGCTGAATTCAAGAACATAAAGCAAGAAGCAGACTGACCATCAACCTGGGCTAAGTGAACAACCACTGGAGAAGTGAGAAGGGCAGGCGTGAAAAAAACTGTAATTAAATATTTTACAAGAATTTATACTGCATCACAAGCTACAGAAAACATTTCATTGTGCAAAATGTGAATGTTTTAATATGAACAAATATTTATGTCTGAAAGGTGTAATGTCTCATTTCTCACCCTGGCTGAAGCAGGACTCTTACTTATAGCATGCATCTCATGAACAGCAATGTTTTCTTTCCTTTATTATTTTAATTGAGCAAATCACTTAAATTAAAAGCAAACGAATGAAAATTGCTGATGTAATTTGATTTTTTTAATAAGCCATGCAACTTTCTATGATCCCAGATTTATGATACTTGTGCGTGGCCACGCCGTGTACACTGATGATGCTCAGTGGTCCTCAGTGTGTTCAGGAAGCTTGTGTGTACGCCCAGACACATGAAAAATTAGAGGGAACATTGGATATAACACATTATAATCATTATGTAAACATTATGATCCAAAAGCTTCAAATTCCAGAGCATGCATTTTATAACAAGGGTCATTTTGGAGGCGACTGCTGGACCTTCCTCACCTGTTAGTGGACTATTTGGTTTTATTCATTCATTATTTCATAACACAATAAGAAATATTCATAAGAACCCACTTTACTCAGATTAACTATTTAGTAGCTCAATCTGTGTTTGCTGGAGGTTCCTGACACATTGATGGTGGTTCCACTTATTTGTCATAATGCGAGGTTTCCAGGACTCTAAGGCAAGCAACAACTACGAACACTCAAACAGTTTTAATAAATTTATTAAACAGGGAAGTGTGTGGAGGGACGTCGATCTGCGACAGCAGGGAGGGACCAGGTCAGCAGGGAAACTGAAAGAGGAAGCGGTTAAAGAGGGAAGAAATGAAGGGAACGAGGGGTAACCTGAGGGGAGCTTACGGTCAGTGGGTAGAGGTAGGCAGAGGGGAGTACTTGGGAGTTCCAGCAGTTGGCGTGGTGGGGTGGTTTCCAGGTGGAGAGGTTCCTGCAGGAGTCTGAGGGCGGAGAGGCAGCAGCTGTGTGGCAGGTGACGTACCCAGGTGCAAGGCCCAGTGGAGCCGCGAGGATCAGATTCTTCAGGTGAGTCTGTCTCAGAGGGTGTTCAGCATAGGTTCACTAGAGGAAGGTAGATTGAAAAGAGTCAGAACAAAGGAGGACACTGGAAATACAGCACTGACGCTACAGAGTACCACAGTAGAAGTGGAACCATCTGGCATCTGAATCTGGGAAGCTACTCCTCTTTAAAGACCTTGCAAATTGGAGGTGATGAGGAACAGCTGGATTTCATCAGCCTGCCTCCCTGTGAAGGAGAAGAAAACCACTCCCCTGCAAAACCCAACATTATTGCTGTCTGACTCTTTAATTATTCATTTATAAAACAGGGCATGAAAATATTGGCAGCTCATAATTTGCTGTGCCAAAATATGCACAACAAATGCTTTAAATTATTATAAAGAGTTTGGAAGGATTTCACTTTTCTACACAATCACATTGTTCCCTTATCTGCTTTATATAAATAGGGTAATTGACATGTTGGGTTTTAGCTTTCTGACCCACATGCAGAAACCACACGTCTCTTAGAAAAATAGTGAGTATTTATTTTTCAACAGGACACAAGATATCAATCCGCAGGACTTCAGTGAGGGGGTGAGAATGAAAAGCGGTTTAGACGGCTGGGAGTGAACGGATAGATTTGAGAGGGAAGTGGAACGGGCTTACTTCACGGTGGTTTGCTGTAGCGTGGGGAAGGTGCCAGGATTCTGAGTGGAGGGTAGTTCGGCGGTCCGAAGGTGAGTGCGAGGAGGGGGTGTTCGGAGAACCGGAGGCTTGCAGGAGTGAAGCTGCGGCGGGGAGAGCAACGGAGCAGGCAGGCTGGTGCTCGCAGGAGAACTCACGAGCGGAGAGACAAAAACCCTGGAAGCGGCAAAAATACAAAGGTCAGGTAACTTCTGGTAAGCTCAAACACTATCTTAAGCAACATGCAACAACAGGAGACGACCAGAGTGACTACCGATGAACGTAATCATCTAGCACTGAAGGAAGGATCTGCTGCTCCTAAATCCCCCGCTCTGATGAGGCAGATGACTTCCACCTGTGCAGACTCCTCCGGCTCCTCACCAAGATCCTCTCTGGACGAGATGTGACACTCGCACTCACACACATGCACTCACACAGAAACCCTGACAGTAATATTTGAGAACAATAGAGGGCATGCAGATATCGCCAGGCTAATTATTTGCTATGTCAAAAAAATGCATCCTCGTTAACTTGAATAAATAAAGAGTTAAGAGGGATTTCACCTTTCATAATGACTCTTGTTCTCTAAGCTACTGCAATAAGTTTCATATCAACAGGACAATAGACAGGGGATGCAAATATTATCAAGCTCAGAAATTAAATTGCATCTCCCTACATTAATAGACTAGAAGTTTAAGGATGATATAAAATGTTTTACATAACCAGCCTCTGTTTTTTTAGCTTGAAGCTATTATGGTGTTAAAAGAAAAATCTGTGGATTTCAAACAAGCTGCGGAAAACATTTTCATTAGACACTGAAAAACCGTATTTATGTCAATTAATCTGTAAAATTAACCCACCGTTTTAGGTCTTACAAGGTTAAGAAACGTGATAATGTTACAAATATCTTTAAAAGTTTCCTCTTCGGTCACATTTCAGTCCGTTTCCTCATCAATATGCGAGTTTAGAGCGACGCGCTCCAGTGACAGGGCACGTGATACTCAGCATGACACCTGTTTAACATTTTCTCCACCAACCACTGAGGCTGGAGGAGAAAATCTTTAATTTCCGTCCCTGAAACGTTCATTATGGAAGCCCGTTTCCGCCACTCTGTTAAAAAAATTAAATAAAATTATCTCATTATAATGAGATAGTATCTCATTATTTTGAGATACTATCTCATTATTTTGAGATAGTATCTCATTATAATGAGATAGTATCTCATTATAATGAGATATCTCATTATAATGAGATACTATCTCATTATAATAGATAGTATCTCATTATAATGAGATACTATCTCATTATAATGAGATAGTATCTCATTATAATGAGATACTATCTCATTATAATGAGATACTATCTCATTATTTTGAAATACTATCTCATTATTTTGAGATACTATCTTATTATAATGAGATAATTTTTTTTTTTTTAACAGAGTGGCGGAAACGGGCTTCCATAGTTCATCATCATGAAAAAACAAACTCCAGATTGATGATTTGTTAGCCAAGAATTTCACTGAATGTTCACAGCTCAATTTTTCCAACACTTAAACTCCGAAAACATGCTAAATATGCTAACACGGAGCTAAATATGCTAACCCGAGCTAAATATGCTAACACCAAGCTAAATATGCTAACACCGAGTTAAATATGCTAACACCGAGCTAAATATGTTAACACTGAGCCATGTGGCTGATGTCTATCATACAGGTTGACCTAATCATAGTTATAAACAATTTACTCACGAAGTCCAGTGAACAACAGCAGTGACATGTGGACAGTAAATTCTCCTGAAATGACTCAGTTTGTGTGGCTTTGTTGGAACCTGAGAGCTTAATGTCACAGCCGCTGGAGGAGGTCAGAGGTCAGAAGTCAAGAGTTACATTTTAACACCTGTAGATTTGTTTTAACACTGGATTTTAACTACTAATAAAATACACCATAGAGTTACATAAACAGAATGTGGCTCTGTGACAGTAAAACTAACTTCTGCATGAAGTCTAACACCAAAACATTAATGGTTCTGAATCTGCTGGGCGAGATTCAGAACCACCTGGAGTCCAACAGGTGAGTCCAGTTTGGACTCCAGGTTGACTTTGTCTCCTGAATGTTTCCTAACTGAAGACGTCATCAGAAAGTGCTGCAGAGCTGCTGGAGGAGGAAGAGCTCAGAGAAAAGCTGCTGCATGAATAAACCGATTCTCTAAATCAGGACGATCAAACTGCAGGTTTTAAATGAGCCTCAGGTACAAAACACTGGAATTCATGACCTCCTGCTGTGGATCGGATCTGCAGAACCTGATCAGAACCTGATCAGAACCTGGTCAGAAACTGAAGTTTGTTCTGGACTCTTCGGTCCAGGTGATCAGCTGCTTTTCTCCAGGAAGTGTTTCAGGTTTATTAATCTTCACTTTCTGTGGTTTTATTTTCTCTCTATGGTTTTATGAAGAGCAGATTTTTCCTCAGCTGTAAAAACATCTGAAATCATTATTGAGGCTTGAAGAGCAAAAGAACCAGAAGAAAAGCTGAATCCTTTACGATGATGGAAGTTTGATGTCACATGTTTATTTCTGCTGTGATTAATTAGAGAAGACAGCAGCTTTATTGTCTAACTGCATCATTATGTGTAATTTTGGTTTATTCTGATTTCTAACACTTTGGTGTTTCACAATAAACAACAATTATAAAAAAGATGATAGTCGTGGTTTCTGTGGAAATACTTGCATGTTGTGGTTTGATTTTGCACCATATTTCCCAGGATGCTTAGCAGCTGGTTTTGAATCCTGTGTTGCAGTGAGAGATGGATGTTTGCTACTGTTTTTTAAATTCAAGTTTTTATTAAGGAACAACATAGAAAATATACATCTCATCCATTCACATAAGATGATATTGACCTGTACAGTAATCTATTCAGTTTGTTATATTAATCAATACAGTTAACCCCTTCTTGTGATTGTCCATCTCCAGTATTTAATGTTCTCTTTTCCCTTCCTCTTCACTCCTCTCAAAGGAAGAGAGGAGGAAGAACAAAACAAGTCAGTATCAACACTAGAATAACTTTTCCGACCCTTAAAACCGAGGGTTCAACAGAGTAGCTAAGGAACAATGGGTGTCACCACAATCTCACTAGCTTCAGATCTGGTATTCATAAAAGTCCACCATGGGGTCCAACACTTTTCAAATTTGTCTTGCTCCAGTTTCAATGCAAATGTCAATTCCTCCATCTTGCAAATGTCTTGAATGATGCTTGTCCAGTCTTCTAATGTGGGTATTTTGTCCGTCATCCATTTCCGAGTAATTGCTTTTTTACTGGCAATTAGTAATATATTGAAAATATATGTTTTACAGAATCCCTTTACACAATCTGGTCGTTTGCCTAAAAGCATAATCTCAAAGTTTAGTGTAAGATTGGCTCCAATAACAGTCTTCACATTTTGTTTAATTGTCCTCCAGTAAGAAGACAGCTTAGGACAGCTCCATAGAATATGAAAGTGGTCTGCTTGTTCCGATCCACATAACCTCCAGCATGTTTTATCTGCATTTCTGTCCCTTTGAGCTGGTGTTTTAAAGAAGCGTGTAACAGTTTTCCAACCAAATTCTCTATACGTTAGTGAAGATGTACATCTCCAGCAGTTATTCAAAATATCTAACCAGTCTTCAATGTGAATTTGGTGGTTCCCTTCCTTGTCCCATCTCTCCTTAATATATAGCGTGTCCCCTCCCTCCAGATTTTGTAGCTCGTCATACATTTTGGATATTATTTAGTAGTAGAAGTTGATTGATATGATTTCAGAAAGATATTTAATATTCCAACAAATGCTCTGCTTGGATCTTCTGTATTTGTTTTGTCTAAATAATGCCGGATTTGTAGATAACGGAAAAAGTCTCTGTTATCAATGTCATATTTTTGCCTAATGTCTTGAAATGTCCTCAGACAGCCTTTATGATACAAATCATTGTATTTTACTAAACCCTTGTTAATCCATCTTTTAAAGGTATTATCTATTTTATTTGGGGTAAAATCTTGGTCATATGCTATCCATCTGATTGGTAAACAGGACTCTCTGTTGTCTTTTACTAGCTTTGACCAGGTCTTAAATGCTGTTTCAGAACAGGGATTAAGTTCCTTAAGGTTTTTTATTAAGTCAATATTCCCAATTGCTGCCTGCAAAGGGACACCACTTTCAATCTCCTTCCATCTTGGGACGTGTGAACTTTGACCTTCCTCTGCTGTTACTGAGTCCAGACACAGACGGTTCCATGGTGGCGAATTCACAAACACATGGAGATCAGGCACATAGAAGATTTCATATATTTAATGGAAAAACAGCAAAAACATTGAGAACTGGAAGAAAACAGGAGCCGAGTGCAAAAACCAGGGAAGCAACATGAAGGTCCAACAAGAAGAGAAACGAGTTTAAACACTGAGCAAAACACCTGAGCTGATTGGCTAACAGGCTTCAGGTGAGAGTAAACAGGAACCAGAAAGATGAATTAACTACTAAAGAATAACTAAAGAAAGGGAATAAATGAACATAATTATCATAGAATCAGTCAGAAGAACTGGACAGAAACAAGGCAGACTGGGATTACTGGGATTACTGGGATTAAGGAGCAACCAGCTCTGACAGGAACATGCACTGATAATCAAACAGAATAACATTACAGTCAGGTCTTAGGTCAATCAAGGTCACATTGTTTAACCAACCAGTTCTGTGATTATGTAAGGGAGACAAATCAGTGAGAAAAAAACTTGTGCTGCTCGAAGAACTTTTTAATAAATGATGCAAACATTAGCATTAGCCAACATTAGCATTAGCCAACATTAGCGTTAGCCAACATTAGCATTAGCCAACATTAGCATTAGCCAACATTAGCGTTAGCCAACATTAGCATTAGCCAACATTAGCGTTAGCCAACATTAGAGTTAGCCAACATTAGCGTTAGCCAACATTAGACTTAGCCAACATTAGCATTAGCCAACATTAGCGTTAGCAAAATTATCATTAGCCAACATTAGCATTAGCCAACATTAGCGTTAGCCAACATTAGCATTAGCCAACATTAGCATTAGCCAACATTAGCGTTAGCAAAATTAGCATTAGCCAACATTAGCATTAGCCAACATTAGCATTAGCCAACATTAGCTTTAGCCAACATTAGCGTTAAACAACATTAGCTTTAGGGCCGTTTGAGTCAAACTGAATAATCGTCAGATCAGTGACTCGGCCTCCAGCAGCTCAGATGTTTAATCAGATCAAGTTTCGGCATGGTGACGACTCCTTTTCCTTGGTTGAAGTCGGCGTGCCAAACATGTTCACCATCCAGGGCCATCATGTCCATTTCATTAGCAGGTGAACAAGCCACCACCTCCAGGTCCTCATGTTGGCCTGCAGGGAGCAGGAAGAGGTCAGAGGGGTCAGGCTGAGCGAGCAGGTCAGAGGAGGAGGAGGGCAGACGCTCAGCAGCCGCAGAAACACAGAGTGGCTGGTTTCTGGTGATGCTAATGCTATGCTAATGCTATGCTAATGCTATGCTAATGCTATGCTAATGCTATGCTAATGCTATGCTAATGCTATGCTAATGCTATGCTGATGGTCAACCCTCAGTCTTTGATGAAGGGATGAATTCAGACCAGCAGAAGAAGAAAAGTTTAATTCAATAATAACTGAGAATTGATCCAAACATCCCAAACCTGATTTATTCCTCTGATCGTTTATTTCTTTAATTATTGATGAAAAGACAAACCAGAAAATGGAAATAATGGAAAATACAAAATATTTCCTCTTTTAATATTTGATCAGATAAAAGATGGAAACTGGTATTTAATATCCATCCCATAATGTTTATGATTCATTCAGACTGGAACCAGTTTGGAGCCGTTTTCCTTCCTCACCTGAATATTAAATATTATTTATCATTTCATCAGAGTCTGAATGAGAACAACATTTAGAAAACCTGGAAGGTGAAACAGGGAGAGGGCGGAGCCCAGCCTGACCAATCAGAGAGCAGAACCTGCAGGCCAGCCTGATGACATCACTACGCTGTGATTGGCTGCTGGGTGGAGAGTTTCTGACTGACTCAGGTGAGTTGAGATCAGACCAGCTGAAGATGGAGCTGCAGCAGCTGCTGCTGCTCTGTGTTTCTGCGGCTGCTGAGCGTCTGCCCTCCTCCTCTTCCTCCTCCTCCTCCTCCTCTGACCTGCTCGCTCAGCCTGACCCCTCTGACCTCTTCCTGCTCCCTGCAGGCCAACATGAGGACCTGGAGGTGGTGGCTTGTTCACCTGCTAATGAAATGGACATGATGGCCCTGGATGGTGAACATGTTTGGCACGCCGACTTCAACCAAGGAAAAGGAGTCGTCACCATGCCGCACTTCCTGGTTCATCCAGAGTTCACAGGGTTTTATGAACGAGCCGTGAAGAGAGAAAAGTTCTGCAAAGACATCCTGAAGATTCTCCGATTGGGAATGAAGGACATTCCTGATCCGCTGGGTGAGGAAACGGGAAACAGGACTGAACAAGATCAGACCGAATGAGACTGAATAGACTAAATGAGACTGAATGAGTCTGTCTCATTCAGTCTATTCAGTCTCATTAGTGTGTCCTCTGGTCACTGATGTGTGTGTGTCTCTGTGTGTGTGTCTCTGTGTGTGTGTTTAGTGTCCTCTGCTCTCTGACCTTTCTCTGACCTTCCTGCCCTCAGATCCTCCCTCCGTCTTGCTCTTCTCGGCCCACCATGCGGTTCTGGGGGAGAAGAACGTCCTGGTGTGTCACGTCTCTGGTTTCTGTCCGGCGCCGGTCCGGGTGTCCTGGCTGAAGAACGGACAGGACGTGACGGCGAGCAGCAGCCTGAGCGTCCCGCTGCCCAGCAGGACCAGCAGCTTCACCCAGATCTCCAGGCTGGACTCGGTTCTGCAGCTGGGAGACGTGTACAGCTGCTCAGTGGACCATCCGGCTCTGAGGAGGCCGCTGACCAGGACCTGGGGTGAGCGGCCTTTGACTAGACAGGAAGCGGCTGCGGCAGAGACCGACTGACCCGTTTCCTGTCTGCAGAGTTGCAGGTGGAGGCGCCGCCCGGGCCCGGCGCCGGCCCGGCGGTTCTGTGCGCGGTGGGAGTGATGGTGGGTCTGCTGGGAGCCGCCGCCGGAGCGTTCTTCATGGTGAAAGGGAAGCAGCTGATTGGTCCGTCCTGAACCTCCTGACAGGAAGTCCCGGTTCTGACCCGACACGTGGATCCGATCAGTTCGGATCAATCAGAGATCCAACGTTAAAGCTCCTGGACTCAGGCTGATCTTATAGAAAATGGTTTCTAGATGTTCTGCTTGAGGAATCGGGTTCTGGAGCGTCTGACCCAGTTGGTTCTGGACCGGGTCGGTTTTACTGGCTGGTTCTGATGATGGTTTCTGATTAAAATGAAATAAAAACTGTTTCTGTCTGGAGTTTTATTCTCATTAATATAAACATCTGGAAACATTTTGATTAAAATGAGAAAAAAATTTTATTTTTCTACAAATAAAGAAACTGAACTAAAAATCTGCTGTTAAATAATAAATAATAATATTTAATATCAATTGATAAAAACATGCTGGTCTCTTTAAACTGACTAGAACCAGATGAAACTTTTCCTCCATCGTCTGAAAAGTTCAAAATCATTTAAATATAAAAACTAAATGGAACTTATAATGAAAAATGACACAGAGGAAAAACTAAAGTAAGACGTGAATAAAAGTGAAGATGAAACATTTCATGACCTTCAGCAGGAACAAAGGAATCTTCATATCAGCATCATAAACTCGGATTAAACTCCCATAAACTCAGATTATAAACTCAGTTATGAGACGTCAGAAATCAAAGTTCATCATATTTATTAGATTTCAAGAAACAAAACGTCCAAACTGACTTTAATAATTCACTTTATTCTCTCATTCTAACATAATTTTTCTGAAATGAACTTTTATAAAAACAATAATTTCTCAGTTTGTCTCTGATTTGGAAAAATGTAAATAAATCTGTAAAAACTTTGATCAGAAAATTTTAATCCAACAAAACAAATAAAAAGTTTTTATGTCTTTGAGTTTCAGAGAAACATTTGGAAACATTTTCTGATGTTTAGAATATTTGATCAAATTTCATCAGTTTTTCATTCATATTTCCAGTTTAAACAGATAAGAGAAAAATTCCTGCAGCAGGTTTATCATCAGTAGAACCATCAAAACCATCAGAACCAACAGAACCATCAGAACGAACAGATCCAGTGGATCACCTGCTGCTCTGCTCCTGTCAGGTCAATCTGCCCGGTAACAGGTGACGTCACCAGGTGATTCTCCGTCTGGTTGCAGCTTCAGCCTCAGTTAGTCTCCTGACCTGCAGCAATGAGTCGCTCTCTGGTTCTGCTCCTGGTTCTGGTTCTGGTCCAGACTGCAGGTAGGAGCCGATCGATCGTTCAGATTCCTGGGCTGATATGGAGAAACACTTTATGATTGATTTCAATCTGTTGATCTGGTTTTGTTTCTGATTTGTTTTCTGAGACCAGCTGAGCTCTGATTGGTCGGATCTGATCTGAATTATAATCAATAATAATGAACATAAAGAGCTTCAATGTTTCCTAAATATTTAACATTATAGAGGATCATAAAGTTTCATTATCATCTCTGGTTGCAGCCAAAGCCTGATAATTCATCCATTCATTTCAGATTCACTGAATCAGTTCACTGAATCAGTTCACTGGATCAGTTCACTGAATCAGTTCACTGGATCAGTTCACTGAATCAGTTCACTGGATCAGTTCACTGGATCAGTTCACTGGATCAGTTCACTGGATCAGTTCACTGATTCAGTTCACTGGATCAGTTCACTGAATCAGTTCACTGGATCAGTTCACTGAATCAGTGAACTGGATCAGTTCACTGAATCAGTTCACTGGATCAGTTCACTGGATCAGTTCACTGGATCAGTTCACTGGATCAGTTCACTGATTCAGTTCACTGGATCAGTTCACTGATTCAGTGAACTGGATCAGTTCACTGAATCAGTTCACTGGATCAGTTCCCTGAATCAGTTCACTGGATCAGTTCCCTGAATCAGTTCACTGGATCAGTTCCCTGAATCAGTTCACTGGATCAGTTCGCTGAATCAGTTCACTGGATCAGTTCGCTGAATCAGTTCACTGGATCAGTTCGCTGAATCAGTTCACTGAATCAGTTCACTGGATCAGTTCACTGAATCAGTTCACTGGATCAGTTCACTGAATCAGTTCACTGGATCAGTTCACTGGATCAGTTCACTGAATCAGTTCACTGAATCAGTTCACTGGATCAGTTCACTGGATCAGTTCACTGGATCAGTTCACTGGATCAGTTCACTGAATCAGTTCACTGGATCAGTTCACTGAATCAGTTCACTGGATTCAGTTCACTGAATCAGTTCACTGGATCAGTTCACTGGATCAGTTCACTGGATCAGTTCACTGGATCAGTTCACTGGATCAGTTCACTGGATCAGTTCGCTGAATCAGTTCACTGGATCAGTTCACTGGATCAGTTCACTGGATCAGTTCGCTGAATCAGTTCACTGGATCAGTTCGCTGAATCAGTTCACTGGATCAGTTCGCTGAATCAGTTCACTGGATCAGTTCGCTGAATCAGTTCACTGGATCAGTTCGCTGAATCAGTTCACTGGATCAGTTCACTGGATCAGTTCACTGAATCAGTGAACTGGATCAGTTCACTGATTCAGTGAACTGGATCAGTTCACTGATTCAGTGAACTGGATCAGTTCACTGATTCAGTGAACTGGATCAGTTCACTGATTCAGTGAACTGGATCATCAATATTTTGTTTATGAGAATAGAAATGGAGAAAAAACCCAATTTATGCTTAAATGAATTAAACTGGTTTTCTAGAGTTATATTATCCAGATGTTTTATAGATTTACATTATCCAGATGTTTTCTAGATTTATATTACCCAGATGTTGTCTGGATCTTCACCCTGCTCTCCCCCCAGTTGGCTTCATGTGTCAGGAATTGTTCCTCTGCCAGTTCAACTCCTCTGCGCTGCAGGACGTTCACTACAGATACTCCTACGTCTACAACAAGGTGGAGTTCATTCGCTTCGACAGCCATGTTGGATCCTTCGTTGGTCTGAACTCGTTTGGTCAGAAACTGGCAGCAAACTGGAACAACGGCAGCGACTCGCTGAACGTCACCAAGACCTACAGAGAGCAGATCTGCCAACCCAACGCTGAGCTCTGGTATAGATTAGTGTTAGATAGATCAGGTGAGACCTGCACCGGTATGATCGGTGATGTATTGATTGATATGATCACTGATGTATTGATTGATCAATAAAGGTCATGTTCTAACCCTAATAATGTCCAGTCAGTAAACGTTGAGCGTCTCTTCCTCTCCTCTTCCTGTTCCAGTGGCGCCGTCTGTCGCTCTGACCTCAGTGGCGCCTCCTGCTGGTGGTCATCCCTCCATGCTGACCTGCAGCGTCTACGGCTTCTTCCCCAAACAGATCAGAGTCACCTGGACGGACAGGAAGTCACATCTGATGTCACTTCCACCGACGCGCTGTCAGACGGAGGCTGGCTCTACCAGATCCACTCCAGCCTGGAGTTCAAACCCAGGTGAGTCCAGGTAACACACACACACAACACACACACACACACACACACACACACACCACACACCACACACACACACACACACACACACACACACACACACACACACACCAGTTGGGCTCCATTATGGTTTTTCAGCTGATGCTCCTGAGTTGTAGTTCATAGATCCGTCACCAGGTGGAGCTTTAGAGCCAGTCTGTCTGTGCTCCAATCGATAATCTATAATTTATAATTGATAATGGTTGAGATTCGTTCATTCTGTTTTTGTTCAGCTCTGCCTCCCATCCTGTCCATGAACTGAGGATCAGAACCGGACCCAAAGAACCGGACCCAAAGAACCGGACCCAAAGATACGGATCCAGACATCCGGACCTGAAGCCCGGTTCTGATCCTGATCTTCATCATGAATCTTCACTGAAGCTCCAGATTTAGAGTTAAAATGTGTTATTGGTTCATTTTCCTCCAGTTTTCTCCATGATGCAGGAAAACATTTCATGAAAAGTAGAAAAATCAGATCATATAATTCTGTTTAATTAATAATAATATTTTTTGTCATTTTGGTTTATTCTGGTGACTTTTAACTTCCTGTTTCACAATTAAATGTTTTTTCTCTTTTGGATTTTTTTCCTAAATTGTTTTAATGTTTTTCTGAAGTTTCCAGTTTATTTATTTATTGGTTATAAATAATAATCCTGAGGTCCAAATGATAACATAAAAATATTAATACAACACATAAGTCTATTTTCATATACACCCACTGGCCACTTTATTAGGTACAGTTGTCCAACCGCTTGTACCATCAGGACTAATTACACAAGGTATTACCTTACAATTACATGAGGTAATTACCTTGTGTAATTACCTTACAAACCCTTATAAACCCCTAACCCTAATATTTTCCTAAAGGTCTATATCACATGTGTCAAACTCGAGGCCCAGGGGCCAAATCTGGCCCGCCGTAGTTTTATATGTGGCCCTCCAGACTAGACTAAACACTAAGTGTGATTAAATATTATATTATCAATCACATCAATGCAGTTTTTATCTGTTTACTGCCAATTTATATCAATCAGTCCCTCCAATTTCTTGAGAATTTAGTTGATGTTTGATTATAGTCCATGATTTATACAGCGAGTAAATAAACAGTGGCATTTATTATTAGTCCCTGAAGGAACTGAAAAGACGTTCAATAATATTATGTAATTTTAAGAATTCATTGACATATTAACAGTTTGTGAACAGATTTTATCAACACATTCTGGGACAAACGGCCCTTTAAGAGCCTTCATGATCTTGATTTGGCCCAAAACGAAAAGGAGTTTGAAATAAACTCTGACAGAACAAAACGCTTTAAAGTGTCACACAACAATTAAAAAAAGATTTAAAAATATGAACTACAATGCCTTCATCCTATTTACAAAAAACCTTTTAGGCCCAATATACTGAAACCACATGGGCCCCATATAGTGTTCCCATTTCTGTCCCATGCCCAGTTAGCCCACTTTAATGCTGAATTGGGCCCATACATTTAACCCAATTGAGCCAACAATATGAGTCCCATTTCGGTTAACCTTATGAGCCTCACGCAGTTGGCCCAGATAAAACCCATGCCCTCTTATCATTACCTATATAGCCCAAAGCTAAGCGATTCAATGCAGTTTTATTGAAAAAAACGACAATAATAATCTTGCATGGGTCCCAGCCAAACCAGCCTGAATCCATACATGAGACCCACCCAT